TTGTCTCATACGTCACACCCCGTGTGGGCACCCCAATCACTGCCCAACGTCTATCCAAGTGGATCGTAGGTCTGATAGAACTCTGTTACCTACTGGCGAAACAGCCGTTGCCAGGCCCGGTACGGGCTCATTCTACCAGGGCTGTCGCTACGTCCACTGCTTTCCTGAAGGGAGTACAGCTGCAAGACATTTGCAGAGCCGCAACCTGGGCCACGCCTACTACATTCATCAGGCACTACGCCCTAGACGTCCGCCAGTCCACCAGTGACAGTCTGGGACGTCAGGTTTTATCATCGGCTAAGCAGTAAACACCTGACAGCACCCGCCTCCAGGTTGGCTACTGCTCACTAATCTCCCATTGGTGTGAAGCACAGAGACCACGAAGAAGATAAACAGGCTGCTTACCAGTAACTGGTGATCTTCGAGTGGTCATCTGTCCATTCACACCACCCGCCCTCCTGCCCCACTGCTGTCTTCTTCTACCTGTTTTGTTAGGAGATTGATATTTTTATAAACCAGTTCCATCCAGGGATACTGCATATATAACCCTGGCTGGATGGGAAATTACATGTGTGAAGTATGCATAATTATCTTCTCCAGCCTACACTGTGTTGCGCACATGGAACCCTTGTTTAAAAGCTAGTTTCTGGAGTGGAGCTATCAGTTAAATGGAGGGACTTTGTAAGTGGAGGAATGTGGCTCAGTGATACGGCATTATTTCATTTAAAAACTCCCAGTTCCAATCCCTGCTTTTCTAGTTAAATTATTTCAGGTAGTACATGTTTTCACAGATTTTGGAAAGATCCTGCCAGTCAAAGTAGACAGGTACTGATGGAGCAAGCCTTTGACTAAAATAAGTTAGGTTCATACGTCTTTTTGGTTTTTTTTTTAAATATGTGCATGTGTGTGCGCGCACACAAGTGTATGTTTGCACCTGGAAGTCATGGCAACCTCTGGTGAATGACCCCTACTTGGGGCCTGGAGGATGTTCAGAGAGGTGGCTGAATAAAGCCTGCTTCTACCTCCCACCCCTGGTATTTCAAGGAGGTGTCCCATCCAAGTACTTGCCAGTGTTGACCTTGCTTAGCTTCCAAGATCTGACTAGATCAGACTTGCCTTGTCTATCCAGGTCAGGGCAAGTTACATTCATACTTCAAGAGTGGTTATGGAGGCTGAATTCAGTTCCCTTACTGTCCCTTTCCTTCCAACAGTTTATAGATAGGATTTTTAGAAAGGGCTTTTCATGTGCAGCTCCATTTACTTTTTGAGTACATCACTGGATTGGGATAAGGATGTCCTTAATCATCGCTTTATGGCATCCTTCTTACTCTATTTTCCATTGCTGTCCAATTGCTGTCCAATGTCTTATAGGCACATTATTTCTGACTTGTATATGTATCTGTGATAGCATTTTAGAGACCTACAGGATTTTAGGATATAAGTTTTCGAAAGTCAAAGCTTCCTTCATCAGAAAGTCAACCCTCTTTTTTTGTCAGACATGCATCTGATGAAGAGAGCTTTGACTCTCAAAAGCTTATACCTTGAACATTTTGTTGGTATGTAAGGCGCTACTAGACGAAAATCTACTGCAGACCAACACTGCTGCCATTTTACATATGCCATGCCACCGATTTATGTTGTGATAACTGCTCAAGTGGATGTGTTCCTTTCATTTAAAGGAATGGATCAAGGTGCACTAGAATTCCATGTGTGCATATGGGGCTGTGTGTTGAGGCAATCATGTATGATTTTGAAAGGGTATCACTGAAAGCTTTAAAATATCACAGTGTTTCTCTGTTTTAGGAAAATGATTATGAAGTTTCAGATTGTTTTAGCACAACTGCTATTCAGTATGCACTATATTAATTTATTTCGTTTATGTTCCAGAGGGGACCTACATCATTCTCCTCTCCTCCATTTTATCCTCACAACAACCCTGTCAGATAAATTAGGCTGAGAATATGTGACTAGTTCAAGATCACTCAGCAAGTTTCCATGGCAGATTGGGGATTCAAACCTTGGGTTTTTAGTGCAGCCAAAATATTTTTGGCAACTGCCAGAATGGTGTAATCCTCACTTTATAGAAAGAGTCAGATATGCACCACATTCTTTAGATAGCTGTTACAATACACTGAATGACATATGTCATTGGAGCATCCTCCATAAGGCAAGTGGGGCTGATCTAGTTGTGTACTTTACATAAAAGTTGGTTCCAGAACGTTAGAATCAAGCGGAAGAAATGTGAATAGCAGAATCACATGGAGAAGCTATAACTGAATTGTCCCACTTTATACTGTAGATAGATGACATCATATTTCCCCCTTACTAAATAAACTCTCTTCAGGTGGAAAACTGGTCTGTCATGGAAAATAGTCTAGTCAGCACTCTTCCCTAATGAGCTACTTTTCCTATGTGTAGAAAAGCTTTTTTAATTGGGAGAGGCATTCAAATGACTCCATCAAAAATGGTACAATTCAGCAAACGTTTTTCAGTGTGATTTTCCTAATCATGTAGCTTGGTTACTTCTGCATGTTCAGCATTTAAATACGCAGCTGACATCATGGTGCATGAAATGAAAAGCCCCAAAATGCTGCATAGGTGAGACATTCCAAATGCTGCCCTGTCTTTCTGGTGGGCGTATAATTGCTAGACATGTAATGCTGAAACATGTAAATGCTAAGCGTTTTGTTGTTTAATAGTATTGATCCACACATGATCAGTCCATTTATAATAGCCATGCACATATCGTAATGATATATCACCATGGTGGTCATTGCGTTTCATTTCAAACACCTATTTGATGTTCCAGTGGCCCCATAGGATTAGACTTTAAACCTATACTTCCAACTTCTGAGTCTGTCGTGGAATTGTAAGAAAGAAAGGGTTGGTATTGCTTGAACCAGATTTTATCTACATTTTGGAGAAAAAATACTGGTGGAATATTACCTTGAGACCCTTTTCATTGTACTCTCTACTCTGAGTCATAGTTTCATGATGTTTGATATACTGAACAAGAACTGGTGAATGATAAATGTCTAAACGACATTTCACTACCGGTCACCATAAAGAACAATGTTGATAAGGCTTACTAAATTCCAGATCAGTTCATCCCTTGCATCTGGATTTAAGAACTAAAGTTAAGCCCAAATAATTTGAGATTTTCTACCTTACTTTGCAAAATGCTAAACCTTCTTTAGTGAATTCTTTCTGTAATAATAAAAAATAATGTCACTTTGCCGCTCTGCCTTTTGTGAACAAGGGGTGGGTGTTATGCATTTTCTGATCTCATTCAAATTCATTCTGGCTGCTGCTATTACATTTCTTTTTTGGAGAGCATGCATGTGGGATCATTAGCATTATTATTTCAGCAATAGTAAAGCTGCACATCAGCACTCAGCAAGAAAAAAAAAGAGAGGGGGGAAAAATTACATTATCTATTCAGAATAATTCCCCTCTATAATATAAATGTTACCCAGGATAGAGCTTTGAAATGGATACTGATTCTTTAAATTCTTTCCTGTCTGTTTCAGGAAATAGTGAGATCCTGTCGATAATGAAGTACAATGTGTCTAAAGTTCACTTCTAAACACTTGGCTCTTTGCTGTGAAAGTCATCTGCATTCCCTTTATAATTCTGAGCCACCAGAGATCTGCCTAATCTTGGAGATCTGATCCAGTGCTATCATTCAGAAAAATCCTTGATAATAATTCTACCTTTCAGATCTATGAAAACACTCAAGTCTTGCAGCTTGTGTCGTCTTCTACTCCTTTTTTTTTTTAAGTCCTGAGGCAGGGGAATAAGGCCTTGGCTTATGGGTTTGGAGATTTAGTTGTTTGCAAATAAAATGATTATTACTATTATTATTCAAGTTCTTAATCAACATGAGCAAATGGCATCTGTTTGTTATCATCCTTTCTACAGAAGACAAAGGCTCCAGTCCCCATGGTGTTGACTGCTGGCCCCAAGTGGCTACTGGATGTGACTTGGCAAGGAGTGGAAGACAACAAAAACAATTGCATTGTGTACAGCAAAGGTAAACATGAGCTGATTTTCCTTCCAGTTTCTTAGCAGGGAATTAATGATAGTCCTGATGAAATGTGTCCATTGCATTAGAAGCAGCAAATGCAGGGTGCAAAGGCGAGTCTTGTCCTGTATAACAGAAGTTCCCATGCCTTTGATTCAGATCCAATAAAGTGCTATTCAATTTTTTGTTAACTTGGAATTATGTATTAAATTAACAGGAAGCAGGACATAAGGTTTTGTTTTTGTTTTTTAAAAGGCACAGGTTTTCCAGTTTTTATACCTGATGGTTTGGTATAAACAGTTGCCAGTGTACATCATTGTCTATGTAAAAAACCTATAAGCAGCTGTGCGCAGTGTGTCCTACGTATCCTGGAAACCCCTTTAGTTGCATACAAAGCCTTGCTCATATGTAACAGGTCTTTGTCTCTTTTTTGCAAGAATACTTCTGTACTCTGCTTCCCAAGCTTCTTCTAAGATCTCTCTGAGTTTCAAAAGTGATTCACTAAGGATCGCAGAGGCTGCAAGTGGAGGAAAATGATTTTAAAAGCCTAATGTGCTACGTATACAGAAATGCCTACATCACACTCAGTATTTTGGCCCCTAAGATATAACATCACTGTTGTGTTTGTTTCAGTCAAGGTCTCCTTTAGACATTTAAGATCCATATCTGAACTTCACAAAATCTATGGTTAGGGACTGTGGTCTATACTGCTCCGTATATCTTATTGTAAGTAGGTTCCTATTACGTAATTTTTGTAGTGCTTAATGTGTCATGTTAATACCTATGCTATGCTTCAGTTCTTACTGGTGGTTCCAGACTTCTAAAATACTAATGCATTGGTTATTCAGTGTCCTATTTTGTTGATTGTACTGTCTCGCTCTGTGTAATCCACCTTAAGTAGGGTCGCCAGGTGGCAGGGGGAGGAGGGGGAAGGGCTCCGCCCCAAACAGCAGTGTCCTTGCATGATGTCGCTGATGTGATGATGTCACACAGAAGTTGGTAATTTGCAATGTAAACCGCTCAGAGAACCTTCGGTATTAGAGCGGTATAAGAAATCAAAAGTATAAAATAAATAAATAAATGTCAGGGATGTCACATGGGAATGCTCTGGTTTGAGGGCAAAACTCTATGGTAAAACAAACTACAAGCCATAGAGTTTTGCCCTCACACCAGAGTGTTGCCATGCGATTTCCTCAGCGTGATGACATCACTTCTGTGTGACATCATTGCATTGGCGATGTCGCTGTTCGGAGATGGGGTTTCCCCCACCAGCCAGCTGGCCAGTGGCAGAGAGAAGCCCCCAAAAGCGGAGGATCCCCCACTCAGACCTGGGGGCTGGCAACCCTAACCTTGAGTCCCTGTGAGAAAGGCAGACTATAAATAATATAAATAAAGAAATACAATAAATAATGTGCTGTGCTTGCTTATTGCAAGTGAGTTAACCTTGACATCTGAAATTTTGCTTTACAAATTCATTGTGTTCTGTTCTGTTTTTGTAAGAAATGTTACTGGTACCATTGTTTCCAAACCATAACAGGCATTGAAGAAAGCATCCTGCGCTGTTGGGGAATTAGCAGCTAGTTTGGTTTACAGAGTATGTGAACAAATCTGTATAGTGAAATGTCTTTTCCTGATAATCACAGCAACTTTATTTAGAATGTGAGTTTTCTGCTTCACTGAGTTCTAAGATTTTAGGGTGGGGCCTGCCAAAAAATGTTTTGTGCGGATTTCTGTATGGCTTTCAGTGGGCGCTAGAGGTTGGCAGCAGTCTTCCCCATACAGGCTAGTTAACGTATATTAGTTCCATTGGGATTATTGCACTCATTGTGGTACAAGGTGGGGTAATTAATCAGCAGCCTCTGATTAAGGGAGTGGGCAGACGGGAAGATCTGAAGCAAAAACAAAACTTCTGTCAACCTTCCTTTGCTGGGATTGAATGTCACCCTTTCGCCAATCTGGGTTACTTTGGTCAAACAAAGGTGAAATATTCAACATGCAGTCCTGCATTTGTAATACAGATAGTTAATAAATACTCAGCCAAGGCACTGGGGATATAGCAGTAGTGCCACATTAGAATGGTCTGCTTTCTATTTCCTCTTTTTGTTTGTTTCCTTGGGCATTTCTAATTAAGCTTAGGCTGCAAATGCTGTAAATCGCCAGTCTCGGTGCATTGTGAATACTTCAGAAATTGCTCTGCTCTAGTACAATTTATTTTAAGGTTTTTTTTTCTTATTGCTTAAGAAACAGACCCACTGAGATGAAAGATTTGTTTGCTGAGACAACTTAGTGACCATTTCTGCATACAGCCATCCAGGCAAATAAGCACCCATATCACTATATTAACATACAAAACACTAATCATAATATCAAAGGGTACTAAAACTTACTAGAAACAATTACAAGTTGTTCCTATAATCATTGCAATTTGTACACTTATAAGAGGATTGCCTTTAAACTGCAACAAGCCTTTGAAAATTGAAACACTGAAAACAGGGAATTTGCATGTTTAAAAAAATTAGTAGTTATACACCAGGTTCTTGTACATTCTTCTTATTATAATTACAAAACACCAATAAATTAATTTTGTAACCTGAAAATACCTGCTTTAGTTAAGGAGAAAAGCCCAAGCTTAGAAGGAAATAAATCTGGATCATTTAAAATTTACTGTGACTCATTGCTTTAGCAGGAGAAAATGACAGTATTTTGATGTGTCTATGTATATGTATATATGGTTTTCATATGCATGAGAAATTGCAGCTTAGTTTAAAAGGCATTAAGAGCTGTTTACATAAAAAAACCTTTCCTGCAGTTATCCAAAGTAGAATTTGTGTTTACAGATATGTGAGAAACATAAATGAATGTTTGTAACTTTTGCTACCAGTCTCCCATATTACTTTTCAGAACTCTTCTTCCTTCCTGTCCCTTCCTTGAAACATCTCCCAAACCATTCTAATATAGCTCTCACTTTTATAAAAGTACCCTCCTGAACATTTCCGTTTTACAGAGTTTGCAGAATGTGAGAAGTTCCGACCTCCTCAGTTAGGGCATTCCACAAGTTGGGGAGGGCACTACAGAGAACACGTGTATGTTGATTTTACCCATTTGCAGAGTGGTACCTGCAGAAGGCCCTGCTCAGATTGTTGTGATGGAGCATAGGAGGAGAGGCAGTCCTGCAGCTTTGAGGGACCAAGGCCATCATAAGGAATACCTTGAATTGAACCTGGTAGCTAATGGACAGTCAATGGAGTTATTGCAGAATGGGTGTGCACACTCTGGCTAGCTCCTAATAATAATTGTACTGGTGCATTCTTGAGTTTCTGAGTTGACTTTGAGGGGAGACCTGTATAGATTGCTTTACAATGGAGGTAATGATGGCCATGAACTAGATAGCTTTAAAAGGTTAAGCCAATTCATGTTGGAAAGGTCCATCAATGGTTACTAGCCATTGTAACTCAAAGGAGTCTCCACATACAGAGGCGGCAAACTTCTGAATGCCAGTGCTAGGAGACAACATCAGAGGAAGGGCTTTGGCATCTGTGCCTTGCTTGTTTAGGGCAACTGTATGTCTTCTGTATGAAACAGTATGCTGGACTAGATGGATACCTGGTCTGATCCAGGTGGCTCTTCTTATATTCTTAATGCCCTGGCCTTTCGGCCCTGTTTGCTGGCAGATGGATGGCCATTATGTGAAAGAGCATGCTGAACTTGATGGACTGTTGATTGATCCAGTAGAGCTCTTCTTTTTCTTACGTTTCTTTTTCTTATGTGTGCATACAGCCTGGTTTTTCAATCAGAGGCTCATTTTTCCATGCTACAGCAAAGTCTGGGGAAAGTTAGTAAGGAGTGAACATGGTAATATGTTGGAACGCTTTGGAAAATAGGGTTCTTGGTTTCAGTATACATACTGAAATTCAAATAATATCTTGTTAGATCCATTCTGACTTTCTTCTAGCCCTTAGTATGTTAAATTTGGACTGTTTAATCCTTGAGCCCCTGTTTTTGGATTATCTGTGTTGAAGCTGCATTAATCAGGCATTGAATGAGCATCAGCCCATGTGAACTACCTCATAGATTCTTTAGTACTGGAATTAAATATTTTCTGTAACCCAACAATATTTTTGTATGAAAAATATTGCCAATAACAAATAATTTCAAATGGTGTTTGTAGCTAGAGAATGCCCCCTATCAGCACACTGGAGATGACAGCATGTTTTTTCAGTGATAGAAAACTGACAGGGCTTGTAGAGTTATTTACACATAAAAATATTGTGGCATCTTAAAGACGGACCAAGTTATTGTAACAAAGCTTCTGTGTGCTCAAGCCCACTTTATTAGGTGCATGAAGCTAATCTGACAAAGCGGACTCAAGCCCGCAAATATTTATGCTATAATACATAATATCAGAGGCAGAACCATCTATGCTTTTGCTGTAACCCCACTGAAATACGTAAGCATAGTAATTTATGGCTCAGAGCAAGCTGGTAGTGCAGGGAGTGGGATAGGTTTTAGGTATACAGTTCAAGTATATGCATGCTACTTGCCTCTGGGGAACATTTTTTTATATAGTCCTAAACTGGTTACGGATAAGTATTTTATTAGAGTATGTGATGAATGGTAGCTGAAGCTTTGTAATGGCTCCATTGAAAAGCATTACATTTATGGTGGTGTGAGGACTATGAAAGTTCTGTCTGCATTATTAGATCTATGGTGGTCCATTCATACATCCATGTTATCATTGGATCTTTTATCGGCCAGATGTTGAATATGCTTGCGTGATAAACCTGTAGGAATTAAATGTTAATATATTCAAAGAATATTTCATTTACAAATTTTCTTAGTAGGGTAGCTCCCCCCCCCCCAGTGTTAAAGGAACAAACCTAACCACACCACCATCCAGTCACCACTGTTGTCTAAAATGCCAAATTCTGTATGCCAAATTTGGGAATGGATTATTATATCTGTAATTTCTTGAGTTCTACTTTGAATGGCTTTTTCTGTGCTTAACTTGT